TACGGATTCAAAATAATCAAAGCTATCGAAAAAAAAAGACAAAGATTTGGCTTTGCTCCTCGCCCAAACCATTGTCTCTCAGCAGCTCTTTCAATTAACGTTTTGATTGATTCGGCCACGGCGCGTTTATAGCCTCCGAAGCTCGCATTTTCAAAGGCTTTCAGCTGCTTTTTACTTTTTTTTCTTTTTATTTCGTTCGTACTCTCTGCTCCTATTTCCCGAAGTTTTCCATTCCGTTGTTTACGCCGCCAGAACTCGACCGCGTGATTTATATCTCGTCTGATTGAAGAGTATCGCTCTCTTTTTCGTTGATTGGCAATGAATGAAAAATCCCATTTAATTTGTAACACTCTCACCCGCGCAGCTATAGAGGCAAGTTAATCCGAGACTAGAGAGGTATTTGGTTTCTATTCCCTCGTCGAGAGAGGGAGAGGAGAAAAGCTTGTCTGTCGTCTCGTGATTAGTAGCGGAAATCCTACCCTTTAGCGGCGTCTCCGATTAGTCTTGTCGACGAAAAACTGTATATATATGCCCTAGGCCGTTTTCGCGCTCTGTCACGCAAAAATCAATGAGCAGAGGAAGGGTGCACGACTAAACAAAAGAAATTGGAGAAAGAAGAAGCGTACCTGTGCGCCGTATCCCGCAGGCGCATAGAGCTGTACGCGCCGTGTCCTGGCGCGCTTTGCGAGGTATTCGTGTCTGCGGGCGGCTGTTTTATTGCGAGATCTGCGGCCGGCGATGGCTCCTTCGCCGTAACAAGGCTTACGGAGATCTTAATAGAATCTCAGATGCCCGCGAGAAAGGAGAAAGAGAAGAGAGAGGGAGAGACAGCGAGCGCAACCCCTTCCTTCGCTCTCTCGGCTGACCAAAGCTGCCTCTTCACTACTTCTCTCTTGTCTTTTTCAACCTTGCCTTGCGTTCTCGCGCCCGCGCTTTCGAATTCATGCTTTTTTTCCTGATCACTTCCCGCGATACGAGTGGCCGATAAAAGGCAAGCCTGCCGAGATACGCGCGAGCATCGAATGTAGTGCGCGTATCGACAGAGAGCGAAAATCCATCCAATCGTATCGCATTAATAAAGCGCGAAAACGTTGAATTTCCTGTAGTGGATGTGATGTATCGTCGTTTCTTTCACTGCGTAAATAGGCACTTTTCTTCATGCTACTCGCGAGCGCCGCGGCAGTGAGCGAGCGAGAGAGAGAGAGAGAGAGAGAGAGAGAGAGAGAGAGAGAGAGGGAGAGAGAGAAAAAACAGGCAGGCTGCTTATTCCGAGCGCATAACCGTGATTTATGAATATTGCCTTTCTCGCGCGAGAGTGAGAGAGGCGCGCGCTACGTCAATTTTTCCCTCCAGTGCAAAACTGTTTGGCGTTATCGCTGCAGCTGCCGCGACGGGATCCTTCAAGAGTCCCTCCCCTCCCCCGCCGTAGACGAATCAACGATTTTTCGACACGCGAGCGTTCGACTTGGCGATGCGCGCGTTCGCGAAAGACTGCATCCCGCCGAAGCTCTTATAATTGCAAAAAGTTTTCAATGAGAAAGAGAATAACTTAGTTTACGAAGTAAGCAGATCAGAAACATTCGTCCGGGGTATAAACTGTTAATTGCAGAGCCAGCCTCTCTCTCTCTCTCTCTCTCCCTCTCTCCGCTGTCTTGTGTTCGTAAAAGTTGAAACTCATTATCATACGAATGAGAAAAGAGCATAATTAACTTTAACTAAACGAACTCTCTCTCTCTTCCTAATTTCATCCCCCTTAATTCTTCTCCTTGTTTACCTTAAAACGGCTATTTCTAATTTCGCCGAGCTCTTTTATTCTTATACCATCCTCGGTTCTCTCGCTTCTCTGCCAGCTTTTACATGTATATACACAGGATGCGAGTTAAGCAGAAAGATCGCGCTCGGCGAAAGCGGCTCACTAAATGAGAAATTACACGGAATACAGTAATTGGCCCGTGGCGAGAGACGAGGGGAGCAGCAGGACTCTGCAATCTGCGCTGTATTGGACACTCTCGTGATTTAGAGTGCTCTCCTTCTTGCGTTATCAGTTTTACATTAAAGCGCGTAAAACAGAAAGGAGCCGTCCCCCTCCCTCCCTTTTTTTTCCTTCTTCTCCCTCTCGGGCTGCCGTTAATTGGACTCTTCTTAGCTGCGATCGATCATGGATCCACAACGATGCCTTCTGCGGCGGTAGAGCTTGTCGGCGCCGTAAAAGCCGAGCGCAAGAGCGTCGGCGTCTTGGGGAAAAACAAGCCGCGGCGAAGCTAACAACGGGCCCGAGCTTCTCTCGCCGCCTACACACACACTCGAGAGCGGGAGAGAGAGAGAAAAAAGCACGTGACTCTCCGAATTTTCATTGGGGCGCTAACAAGAAGGCGAGAGACGTTGGCGACATTCCATCCTTCGGGATCATTATATCGCCAATTAGAAGAAGAAGCGACAGACGCCTAACAAGCTTCCTGGGGAAGACGCCGCGCGACAACTGAGAAATCTCTCTCTCAGTCGGCGAGTATATGTATCTTTTGAAACGGCTGCGACTTGTAAACTCTAATAAGACGCTGTGCGCGCCTCCGTTCAATTAAGATGCATCTCTCTCTCTCTCTCTCTCGAGCGGCGCAGCTCGGTTTCGGTTAATTATTAACGAGGCTGATTTATTAGCGTGCGCTATTGATCGGGTCAGCGCGGGGCTCATTTAATAACGGCCCGCGTCGCCATTCAATATTGACAAAGGACGAGCTTGCGCGCAAAAATAAACCGTCGTGCAACCGTACGCAATGCAGCCGCGGCGAACGCACGACTGGCAATTATTTCGAAGCCGCGAGGACGAACGATCGGGAAAATTCGGCGCGGCTGCACGCGGCTCGCGGCCAAAGTCTGCGGGATACGAGACGTCGGGCGTTATACATTACGCCTGCACACAGCGGTCGCTCAGCCGTCTCTCCTCCGGCGCGTCGGTTTGCCTTTCTCTCGGCTAGTTACAAGCTCCGGTCTCAATTAGTTGAACTTACGTCGCCCAGGTCCAATTAGACGCGGGCCAGGAGCCGCTGCTGCACACCCTGTTTGCACGAGTCTCTTAGCGCGCAAGCGCGCGCAACCTATCCACTCGCATACACACACGCGCGCGCGCGCGCGCGCGAAAGAGAGAAACAGAGACCCCAACGCGCAACGTCCAAAGTCTCTTTTTCCTACCCGCTAATGACTAATTAGCAGGTTCTCCACTTCACTGCTATAATGACACGCGCGCGCTCACCCTCCTCCGTATACTGCGCGCCCAGGTATAAGCTGCTTTTTAGAGCGGAGGCTTCTTTTTATTTATTTTTCGAGAGAGGCTCGCGAGCTTTTCTCTTGCCAAAGCGGCCGACAGCTTGCGAACACCGATTCGAGATTGGCTGCGTGCGCGCGTCCCGGAACTAGCGGCTTTTTTCCGTTTCCCCGCGACGCAGGAAGTGAACAAAGACAACACGCTAAGTAACGGAAAAGCAACAAGCATCGGCGCGGTAAAAGCAATCGTCCTTTTGCCGGGGGAAAAAAAGAAAATACGGCGGGACCACCCTCCCCCCCCTGCACTCTCGTTTCTTAATACACCATGGAGCGGCGCGCGACGGATCCGTCAGCCCTTAACAGTCGTATAATGTAAACGGCGATATTTATTCCAGCGCCCGCACGTCCTCGAAACGTCCGTCCCCGCTGGCCACTTTATATCTGACGTTTTTATTAAACTGCGTCCGGTTCACTCTTTCCTCCCCACCCCCTCTCTCTTTCCTTACTTTTGCCAAAGTCCGTCGCAGACACACAAAGTATATGTATATAAGGTGATTTTCTGAAGGGGACTGGACACTCGTCATTTTTATGATGGCAACACTTGGCCATACTGGCGTTCGGCTTTTTTTTTACGACTGGTTTGATTAGAAAAAACGCCCGAGCGTCGCTCTTTTTCTTTCTATTTTCATTCATACGCCTAGATCTACGTTGCCGCTGAATTAATCATCGCATTGAATCCGAGGCCCGATCTTTTCTTTTCTCCCTCGCGAGCGTCAACGAACGATAATCCCGAAATCACGCAGGCGGCGCTAATCACAATGCGCAATTGAGCGCAAGAGATAATGCGGGGCGTTAATATGCAATTAGCGCAACATGGATGCCCGGCCGAGCGACCGGAGCTGCGCGTGCATCAAAAGCGATTCAATCACATACAGCGCGCAACGGCGGCCGGCTTTGACCGCTGCCTGCACTTCCGGTGTCAACGACACTTTTGCTCTTTCTCCCTTTCCATCTGCGTCTCATTCATTAAAGCTGGCATTTCGGCGAACAGGCTTATCGTTAATTACGCCGCGTCGTCAATGAAGCCGCTTGCTCGCTTCTGTTTTCGTTTCCTCGTTCGATATCTTGCAGCCTTGCACTCGACAACTTCCGTTCGGCGACTCTCCGCGACGGCGGACCATCTTTTCTGTTTTTTTTTTCAGCGTGGTCAATCGCTCATCTCGTCCTCGGCCCTTTCAGTCGAACGGAAATCATCGAAGATGCACGCATCATTGGTTAATTATTGTCGATTGACATAGAATTTTAAATGAAGGGCGGAAAAAAGTCGGACGCAGAGTTATAGTGAGACGGTCGTTCGGGGGAGAGGCAAACAAGTGGGATAAAAAGAATAAAAAAGAAGAAAAAAAAGAAAATAGAAGGACGAGTGCGTGGGGAGTAGAGAAGGATGAAAATGAAAGGCGAGGGAGGGAGGCGTTTATAATTCTCGCGAGTCTGCGTCTCTCCGACGACGGCGGCGCGCGAGGGCCAATTAGCGTGGCATAAAGCCCCGGCGTCCGGCCACCGTGCGAGCGAGGACAAGATGTTTGCACGTGTAATGGATTGTTACCAGAAGTATTCGGCTAATTAATCGAGGCGCCCCCTTCCCGCTTGTTTTTATCTCGCGCGCTTGCTAATTAACGCTCGCGTGTCGCCTTTACCGACAGGCTCGAAATAAATGCGCCCGACCTGTTCTCCTGTTGCAGACGGTGCATTAGCCCAGATCACGATGACGATGGATGTGAGCAAGTCGGAGACTAGTAAAAATGGCTCCACTCAGCAGGAGTGCCACGGCTGCCGCAAGACAATCAAGGAGAGGTGAGCGAGAGAAAGCTGGCACTCAATCGCCAACCCGAATCAATTTAATCAGACGACAGAGATATATGTGTTTACCAGGTTGCCCCGCCCCGCCCACAAACACCCCTGTCCGCCGATGCTCCACTTCTGATTCCTTTGATTTCGCACGCGCGATCAATCGCGCCCGAGCCAGACAAATAGAACGATCGTCAGAACAGGCAACTCTCTCTGTTCGCAGGTATTACCTGAAGGCACTGGACGTCCACTGGCACGAGGACTGCCTCAAGTGCAACTGCTGCGACTGCCGACTGGGAGAAGTCGGCTCCACTCTGTACACCAAGGCAAATCTCATCCTCTGCAGGAGGGACTACCTCAGGCTGTTCGGCAACACCGGGCACTGCTCGGCGTGCAACAAACCTATACCCGCCTTCGAGATGGTCATGCGCGCCAAGACCAATGTTTACCACCTCGAGTGCTTTGCCTGCCAGCAGTGCTATCATCGGTTGGTCACTTGCTAGCTGCGCTAAACCTCGAACCGAGCCATTTTCTCGCCCCGAAAGCCCAGCCGAGAGCTTAGCACGGCGGAAGCGCGAGAGAAAAGAAGGCGCGCGAGTAATTCAACGACCACGGGTAGTCTCATGAATCACAATACCTCGTCCCGAGCAGCAGCAACAAGCAAGTAGAGAGAGAGAGAGAGAGAGAGAGAGAGAGAGAGAGATAGAGAGAGTCTAATCTCGAGGCGGCCGAAGCAATTCAGCGTGAAAATGTCAGCAGTATCGCGATAATTATATAACGCGACGAGTCGCGCGCGCGTTCCCCTTGGCTGCCTTGGCGTCGTCGCGAAGGGTGATTTCCCAGCTGGCCTGTAAAGCCGAGAAGCCCAACGCCGCGCCGACGCTCCTTCTTCTTCCTTCTCCTCCGCGTCCTCCTTCTCGATGAAAAAATAAAACTGCGCCAGACTTACAGTCCTTTTCTTTTTTCTTTCGCTTCGCCTTCCCGCCGCGATGTATTAATTCTCGTGGACGTTTCCGCGCGCAATGCCGCCGTCGCGGTTGGCGGTTGGCGTGGCGTCGCGTGTCGATAGCGCGGCACAAAGGGCGCCGTCGACCACAAAATAGCATCGGCCTTACGTTTTTATCGCGGCGCGCCTCTTGTCTCTCGCATACGCGCTACTTCTCGACAATGCTCCTTGGCTGCCCGCCGCAAGCTCTTTATCTTGAGCACGGCACATTGTTCGAATTTGTTTCGGCGCGCGTTCGTTTGCGGCGGATCCGACGCCAAGCTATCGACGACAGCGAGATGGCCGCGATGATTAATTCCACGCGAGTAAACGGCGGCGATTGGCTAAAGTAGTTTAGGACAAATCGTCGGGAGATAAATCATTCAGCCCGGAAAGTAGTTCGAGTCAAAGTGAGGTCATCCGAAGATCACAAAGAACAACATTTACGCAGGAACGCGTCGATAAAACTTTCACGGGCCAAACGCATTACTCGAGGAGAGTAACTAACTCGATTGACCCGCTGAATAATGCCTCGAGGAAGCACACGGACGAAAAAAAAGAAAGAAACGAAGTTAATCGAGAAAGCTCGTCTCGTCATTTATCCGATCTGCAGAGCAGGGAGAGGAAGAGAGAGAAAAGAACAGCTCTCAATATTTGATCCAGTCGCCTAATGGGGTCGCGCGAGCTCTCGTCCGATTTCATTTACTTATTCAAAGTGCGAGCGAGCGAGCGAGCGCTCACTCGCGCGCGCGCGACCCTCGTCAATGATTCAGCGCCGACGAGGTCCAGATTGAAATTTCCCATGCAAGCCGCCGCGATGCGCGCGGACGCCGATTCACGCGCGAACGGCGCCCACCTACGGATTCTCTCGGCGCGTCCGCTGCGGATTTTTAATATTTCAAAGGTGCCCCCCCCCCCCCCCCCCCCCCGCTTTGAGTCGAGGAAGGAGTGTATCTTTAGCGGACTCGAGAATTCATTTTCGATAGCTCTCGCGGCGCCCGCCGGTTCTTCCCCCGGAGGCTCGTCGTCCTCGCGAACGGTCATCGGGTCGACGGCTGCAAATTATCAGCGACTGGCGGCGAGATTTGCGAAGCGATTCCAGGAATCACCAATAAATAACGATGATCGATCGCAAGGCACGTAAATACATTGACGAAGGCGGCTGCAGCGATCCCAAATTATAGCCACGCGGTGACGTTTAATTACCAAACGAAACTAATTCAAGGAGAAGAAAAGCTTTGCGATTCACTGCAAAGAGCCTGCAAGTAATTTGAAAGCTCGGGAAACAGTTTCAAACGAAAACGGACACCCTCGGCTCTCAAAAAGTAGAGAGTCTCGGGGCAATCGTAGCCCGTAAAAAGAGCGTGCGGGAGAGCAAGTAGCCGGGCAGCGACTGGGCGAAAAAAAGGGAGACGCGGAGAAACCAAAGCTTGCGAGCAGCCAGTCTTTTTTTCTTTCCGAATCGGACAAGCTCCGAGGGGCAGGTCGTTTAGTCTTTAATTGGATGCCCGTTAAATTAGACCGGACGTCTTTTTAGGAGAGAGCGAGCGAGCGAGCGAGCCGTTGCCCAGAGCGAGAGAGAAAGAGAGTGAGAGAGCTAATTGGATCGGTAAATCATCCAGTAACCGAGGGAGTGGCAACCGGAGCTTGCTTGCTGCACACGCTCTCTCTCGCTCTCTAGCAACCCTTTATTCCGCGTTATTACAGTCTAAAGTTACCCCCGTGTAATTGTTGCTGTTTAATTGCAAGCTCCTAGTCGCCTCCGTTGCCGTCGATGCTCGCGTTTCAAGGAGCACTCTCTCCCACTCGCGCAAGCCTAGACAGCGGAACTTCGATTTTAACTAACGAATCGCGCTCGCCTTCCGATGGACTTGCCAACTCCGCTGTTCGGCCACTCCTCGTTGATACTCGCACGCGTGACTTTTATGAAAATTGGCATCAGACGCAACGGCAATTGGAGTGCGGTCGACGACAGCAGCGCGCTAGATGGATCCCCCATTCAGCGAGTCAGGCAGTCTCTGCGAACTTGTATATCTCGTCGTGGCAGCGAAAACCGCACGCAGCTGCAGCGCTACAATGCTCGTCAACGAGAATTCCATTTAGCGAGAGGGCCGCGATTATGAATATCAGGCAGCGCGCGCGCATGCAGGCGAGCGATGATTATTTGACCGAGGGAATGCGCGCGCCCGGCGATGATTAATTATATAATAACGAGGCGGCGGCGCGGCCGCGCGGAAATTAGGCTTTTCGCCGAAAACGTACTTTTTGCTCGCTGGCTCACTCGACTACGGGCTAATGCGCGCGCGTACGGCGCTGCGGCTGGCTATTCGCGATTGAGCCTCATTCGAGGAGCGTTCGCGCGATTCTGTGGAGAGATCCGATTGATTAGCTGGTTATTCACGTCACTCTCTGTTGCATTAACGTAATTAGCCGCGTGCATTTAGCTCGATTCCGCGGATATGCGAGCGACTGAATGGAATAGCGCGCGATTCTATTAATTAGGCGCTGCGCTATTTATTCATATTTCGATTGATAATAGCCGTATTAGAATTTCCCCTTTGCCGATCAATTATTCCGCAAATATCGACTTAATTGCCAGACTATCCTTTTTAACTGTGGCCCCCGGCTGTCTTTTGCTGTTCTAGATTCTGCGTGGGTGATCGTTTTTATCTCTGCGAAAACAAAATTCTCTGTGAATACGACTACGAGGAGAGACAGGTGTTCGCTAATATGGCACTCAACCCACCGAGCAATTTGGCACATCTCAAGCGACAGTTGCCGCCGACGCCCACACCACCCGGGCAAAACCAGGTTCATTCTGGCCATCACCAGATGCAGCAGCAACAGCAGCAGCAACAGCACCAGCAGGCGCAAATGCTGGGCCAGTCCATGGCACAGCATAACCACGTGGCGAATGTGAGTTGTTCATTCGGATTTTCAAAAACATTTCCAAAGGCCGCTACAAGTCTAAACATGTAAATGTCACTCGTTTGTGCTCCAGGGTCAGTTGCCAGGTGGCATACCGACAGTCAATGGCACGGCAATCGGCATAGGACCGACCCGTGGTGGACCTGGAGACATGAATAATAACGGACTATCAGGTCCTGGCCTAGGTCCTGTCAAGGCGCCTCCTATGTCGATGCAAGCGCCGACGAGCTGAGATGAGGCGGTGGCGCCGCCTCTAAAGAAGCTCCGCTGCCTCGACAGCTACTGAATATAGGGAAGCTGTCCTATATACATGTATAACGGACGTGTGATACGCGCGTGTAAATAAGACACGAAGGAAACGAAAATTAGGACTTGGACATTCGTTGGTTTTTCTTATTCGCAATTTTTTCCGTTGTTATCCACGCGCAGAGTGGATTTCATATTATCGACGTCATTGATTATTGCTATATTGATACTATTGTGACATTTCTTTAAATTTATATTATTACAAGCGTCAAGTTTTTTAAAATAATAATCGTTATCGACTTTATTTGCGCCGATCGTCGAGTGTAGAAAGTGCGACGTGTGTCATTTATTGATGACTTAACGAATGGGAATCGATAATCATTGTAGATTGGTTTACCGACCGCCGGTAAAACAGGGAATTGATTCTTGAATCGCATAGAGTTGAAGAAAATTCACGTTCTATGCCGATTGAAGCATTTGTCGAAATTGCGAATTTGACGGTAAACTAAAGTTAATTGGTTTCCATACAGCTAATACCAAAGATAATATAATTATTTGCCCTCGTACGTATAAAATTTCTATTTGATATTCGATTGTTGAGCTCGTCATCAATTATATAAATAAATAAATAAAACAGCAACAAAAATGATTTTACGATGCAAGCATTTTATGCACTAACCAGCTTAATAAAATAACTTTAAACGAATTGAAAGCTCGAAAATTCTGTTGTTTCTTTGCTTACCGTGTGACGAGGTTTAGTCATAGCTTTACAGTAAAAAAACCAAAAGAGAAACTACTTGTACCAAAAGACCATAATAGTTATCGAGCAACAGATAAGAGGAAAAAAAACTATAAGTACACGAGTGAGCAGACGAGTGCATGTTCGACAAATTAATCGGTCAGTTATTAAAGAGTGACTGTGTCGAAAAAATTGTTACTATATGAAATTTGCTCTTCGGACGAATGAGTGTACAAAAAAGTATCATGAGCGTGAATGCGGCAAAGGAAATTGAGAGTGGTTTCGCGGAAAAACTGTATATTTCGTAAAAGCTGTATAATTTAGTACAAAGCATTACGACATGTATAAAAAAAGATAAATATTGCCGACGATCTACTCGCATGGCCCTGTATAAGAATAATATACTTTATTCCTTTTTTTTGTTAATCATCTGTATATATTGTCATAACTAGCGCACTATTGTTAGTATATTATGATCGATAGGGTTACATTACTATACGAAGAAAAATACATTCTTATTAATACCTTGAGCGAATTCTTTTTTCTTCTTATATAAAATCACCTTTTCCTCCACACCCTTATACAACCGATCGTTATTTAAATCTCATGAAATCACATCGAAGCATAAGAGGCAATTTTGTGTTTCATGAGAAAGATTCAATAACAATCAAACAAAATCGAAATCGTTCGGCAAAAAGCGAAGACGCCCTAGCCAAAGTTTTAAGTAGTTTCAACCTGCCCATTATAAAGTCTTCACCAAATATAATAACATCTGACTACGCGGCCTGGAAGACATTAGGGAAATAGCGCGCAGACTCTCTCTCTCTCTCTTTCTCTCTTGCCCCTTTTCTCTCTGAAGCTGCACACGGCCGAATCGGCCAAGTTCCCAAGTGTATAAGCGCGAGGGAAAGACCGATACGAGAACTCCTGCCCTGTTATTGAGAACGTATAGACGAAATGGGGGAAGAAGAGTGTATAGATATTCGAGGCAGATTACTTTTTTTTTTACTTTTCGCCCGTGTATCTTTATTGCGAATTAAATTTTTGTTTTTCTTCTACTTTTCCAAAATACCTTGATGGAAACATCGGCCAATTATTATTTTTCTTTCAAAGCGAAAACTAACAAAAAATAACTTTTTTTTGGTCAATGGAAACCGAAAAGAAAGTCGTGTTCGACTTTGAGGGGAAAGCTTATTTGCGTTTTGATCGTAAATTGTGAAAAAATACGATTAAAACTTCAATTGCTGTACATCAAAGTTGAAACACCTATACATGCACTAAGGAATAAATCACCCTAATGACGCATTGATTTCTTTTGAAATCGATACCAAGAAAATAAATAAATAAATAACTAAAACTCGCGAGTGTGCTACATCAATCCCATAAAGTCGAAACTTCCAATACGGAAAAAGGAATCTAATTTCCTCGCTAAGCGAAGAAAAAAAATGGTATATAACACATACACGCGTACAAGTGCTCGACTGCCTATCGCTCTCCCTTAAATGCTTTTTCTTTTAAAACTTGCGCGCGCCCTCATAACAGCTCGAAAGCATCGACGAGAGCGAGAGGTCGGGAAAGAATTTATTGAGTCTGTTATTGGGTTTCCTTCGATTACACGTTTTGGCGAGCTCTCTCGTCCCATGAAATGTCGCTTACGTATTCTTTGAACTCGCTCGGCTCCTGTGCGATCGCTGAGTGCGAAAGGACTTTTTTTTTATGAAAAAAAAAAAAAAAAAAGAAAAAAAAAGAGAAAGGAAAAACGGAGGCTCGGCCAGAAACATGTTGGGAGAATGTTCGAGTACTTGGGCCGATACTCGTAAATCAACAAATCGTGAAATTTTATTGGAGACGCCGCGTCGATCCCACGTATGTATACTCGTCCTTCAACGTCCAAAGTTTCGATACTTAATTAAATACGTTCCGCGGATATTTCATTGCTTATTATCTGAAATTGCTTTTTAGGCTATTTCTAACTTGACAAGATCGATTTGCCTGGGCGCTTCTCTTTCACCAGCATGCATGGCAATACGAGTGGTCCCCTTCTAATACAGCCACTTGCACCAAGAGTAGACGAGCCCCTAAAATTCATGCATAGATTTGGCCTATGCATAACGCGACCCTCAACGAAAAAAGAAAAGGCGCCCAGCAAGGTCGGATCGTAATATCACGAACGAATCATTTGATAAGGAAAGTTAATTCATCCATTCGTACAAAAGGCAGGCAAACGAAATTGGATTGTGCGGCATATATAATATAGGCGAGGATCGAGCGAAGGGTCTCTTCTGAAAAGTGGCATTAATCATGTGTCCATGTTGCCGAGGCGGAGGGAAAATAAGATAGTGAAAAAGCGGCCGCTTAAAATAATCTACCGCGAAATGAAATCAACGAAGGCAATTTTGGCGAGCTGCGACGTCTCCTGACGCCGCTGCCGCCGGGACAAATGACGGCAAGCCCCTGCTATAGCGGAATTAAAGATTCAGAGATAAGGCTGTCATTCTGCGCCTCGTACCGCAACTCGAGGGCAACCGAAAAGGAGACACTGCCGATTAATCGTCGCGCGGGCCTGTCATGCCGCGGCGGATAATTAAGCCGCGCGGGCGGCGCGCGGGCCGCCGTCGGCGACGCGAGTCTCGGGGCGAGCGCGCGCGAAATCGCCGGCTCGTCGACGTCGAAGCGCTTCGCGGCGGGATACCCGCGCTGATAAAAGTATTGTCCGCGAACAATGCCCGCCCGGCCGCCATTAAAGCTCGCTCGGTCTCTTACTCGCGAAGGAGAGCAGCGGGGAGCGCGGCGCACAAAAGGCGGCGCGCCGCGGCGCCTGCCGTCCGCGAAATCCATTAGGGGCTTTGCTTCGAGATGCGCGTCCGAATCCGGCGGCTACGGCGCAGCGACGCGCAATAAAGTGCTCGTTATTGTCGTGAGCCGCTGCCAAGAAAGGCCGGCGCTTCGCGGCGCCCCGATTCCCGCATCGATTTCGGCGCGCGAACCAGTCCGTGCAGCGACACTCGAAAAAAGACAAAAAAAAAAAAAAAAAGAAACGTCATTGCCGAGGACATTTACGCGCTAACGGCCAAGCTTTACGAGCCCCCCCCCCTCTCTCGTCGCGAGCGGCAAGTTTGACGCACTGCGATTATCCGAGATTAGCATAAGTCAATTTTTCGCGCGACGACATTCCGAGTGAAAGTTACGCGTGGAACCAGCTTTCCGAGGGCCTTAAAGCAAACGACGACGACGCCGCAGCGGCGACGCGCACTGACAGCGAGCACGATTTAGTGGCCTTCGGGGAGAGAGAGCAGCAGCAGCCTACATTCTTGCGGGCGCGCCGTCCTATCAAAACACCAGAGCAGCCGCACGGGCAATTTTGTTTTTTATCTCCCTGCTTATTTAGCTCGGCGACGCATATATCGAGAGATTGTCCGGGAAATAAGCGACGGCCCACCGCCGCTACGGTCAATCCTCCCCGCCATAAATCCATGCGTCTCGCTCTCGCTCATATATAATGTATCTCCGAAAAGAAAGGAAAACAAATATATACGCAAATGGAAATGCGCGTACGTGCGTCCCTTTTGTCTCGGCGATTGGACAGCCTAAATAAGCAGCTGATTTTGAGTTCTCGTGATAAATACGCTGGCCGATTTCTTGCCTTCCCGCCCTCCTGAGAGGGTGGCTCTTTGTGATTGATATTATTTGTTCAGGTACACGTGGCCGACTGGAAAACCTGTAATTGTTCTCGATAACGCATTCCCAAGCGATTACTTGTTGCGAGTTCGAAATTAGCACTCGAACGCGCGAACATGGCCGTGCGACAGCAGCGGCAGAACGGCGCAGCAGCGAAATTCATCGGACAAAGGCCGCAAAACGCTGGAGAAGTACCAGTACACAGCAGGCAGTGACGAGCGAAGCGAAGAAGGAGCGGGGTGCCACGCTGCTGCGAGAAAGAGGGCGACTGGCGGCTACAAGTATAACACGCGCGTGGGAGGGGGCAGGGGGGGCTGGGTGAGACGGGTATATAGCAAATCCCCGTCAACCGCATTCAATTACGATGTTATCGCGAATACAGATGACGGTTATTTCCTTCGGTACACCCTATACATAAGCGCGAGAAGTTAAGGCCATAATGGCCGAGAGAGGCGCGTCGCGAAAGAGAGCGCCTGATTGTTTTCGAGGATGTACGAGACGATACGGATAAAGGCGCGCCAATTTTTTTCTCTTTTCTTTCTCGGCTTTTTTTTTTTTCTTTTTTTCCTTTTATTTATTTTTGTTTCGTTTTGTTTTCTGCGAGACTCGGGGTGCTAGGCATTCAAGGAATTCAACGTTGGCTGACGCGAGCGCGGCCAGCACTACTGCGCGCGCCAGCTCAAGGGCATGCTGAATTTTGGGCGGATTAACACTTGTAAACCTTCGCGTTTCACTTTTCACCGAACGATGTAGCAATCAGGCCCGAGAGGCGATCGACAAATCCAATCAAGGCTAATTGCCATTGAATTTTCAAGCGAACCGAGATCAAAAATTACGTCCCGCTCTCGTGGCGTCCTGAAAAATCGATCGCACCCAGCACTCGCATAAGCGATTTCAGGCAATAATTCAATTTGTGGACATCGGTCAATTCAAAAACCGTTTTAGCGTCGCTGAAATATTCAGCTCGCGCGCTCTGCCTACAAGCTTAAAAGCAAAAAAAAATCCCACCCGATAGATATACCGTCCCCGCGACGTCGTGATTGTTATATTTTCAACGGCTAAAAATATCCAACCCAGAAACAAGCTAAACCTAAAGAAAGGTCGCGTCGTCAGACATTCATATGTCGACAAAAAAAACCACACACAAAAAAAAAAAAGACGCCGGCGCGTCAAAAGGCCTCTCCCGATATCGCTCGGAGTAGCAGTCCATCGAAGACTCATCGAAAATTAAAGCGAGCCTCGCGATATACTGCGACTGAATAATTCTCGCAGCGTTCTAACGGATGGAAGGCTATTTAATAGAGAAGCGCGCCAATCAACTTTGGTGACAGTGCCAACGAAACAAGTATTTCCCATCAACACACTCTCTCTCTGGCGCGCGCGCGCACACACACGCGCGCGCGCGTGTGTGTCTTCATTGTATCGTATCTCATCTCTTGGTCGTCGCGTTTCCTTTTGTATCGGCTGGCTGGCGCTCGGCGACGTCCGGCGTTTTTCAATAAAACGCACGCGTGTGCGCGACCGAGCGAGCTCGGCAATTGTCTTCTGGCTCGGCGATAATGAGCTTCACAGAAGTTCGGCCGCGCGCGCAAGCCAGCGCAGACAGCGGCGCCAGTAGCAGCAGCAGCAGCAGCAGCAGCAGCAGCAGGCAGGCAGGCAGGCAGGCGGGCAGGGAAATTGCGTGCGATCGCTACCCGATGCCTGCCAGCGGCGCGAGCTTGCGGCTTAACGAGAATCGATTTGCTTACTATACATAACGCCGCCGCGCCGACGTCGCCGCGACGCCGCTCGCCTCGCTTGCCTCGCTTAGCTTTCTAATTAACTCATCTCGTTGTTGTCTTTTCAA